GCAGTCTTTGAGACAAAGTCAGAGGTGAGTCAAAGTCTAGAGGGGTGGAGGTTCATATAATTCACATCTTCCAGTTCTCACCCAACACCTCCAGTTTAGACTCACTTAAACTCCCGTAGATTTATTTATTTTCACATACTCTTACCATTTATATCCTCGACTTACACTCCACTGGCAGTGAGTCTGTAGGAGGTAACAACTCACAGCTCAATCACTGGTATGTTGGAAGCTTGCTTTTAATTGGGCCCTCATTCTTTTTCTTTTGGTTATGTGAAACTTAGAGATAATGGGCTAAATTCTGTCAGTGTGTGTTGAAGGGCTAAAAGGGAGGAGTGTGCAAGTAGAAGGGGTTGAATGTTTAAGTAGTAAACCCTATTGAAAGTTATAACTTTTCTACAACCTTTTGTAGCTCTTTGGTGTGTACATTATACCAACTTAGACGTCTGTATGCGCACACGTTGGTAAATGGAAATAAATATGTGTAAGGAGTTTAATTTACATATTACACATCACCTGTTAGGGTTGCCAACTTTCTACTTGCACAAAACCGAACACCCTTGCCCTGCTTCTTCTCTGAGGCCCCACCCCGTGCTCACCTCATCCTCCCCTTCCTCTGTTGCTCGCTCTCCCCACCCTCTCTTGCTCATTTTCACCAGGCTGGCTCAGGGGGTTGGGGTGCAGGAGGGGGTGAGGATTCCAGCTGGGGGTGTGGGCTGTGGGGTGGGGCCAGGGATGAAGAGTTTGGTCTGCAGAAGGGGGTTCCGGGCTTGGGGGGTGGAGCCGAGGGGTTTGGAGTATGGGAGGGGGCTCCAGACTGGGGGTGTGGGTTCTGGGGTGGGGCCAGAAATGAGGGGTTCAGGGTGTAGGAGGGGGCTCCAGGCTGGGGCAGGGGTTTGAAGTGCGGGAGGGGGGGTGAGGGCTCTGTTGGAGGGCTGGGAATGAGAGGTTTGGGGTGCAGGAGGGTGTTCCTGGGATTGAGGGGTTCAGAGTGGGAAGGGGGAACAGGGCTGGGACAGGGGATTGGGGTGCAGGAGGGGACCAGGGTTTCAGGCTTCAGGCGGTGCTTACCTCAAGCAGCTCCTGAAGCAGCAGCATGTCCCCCCTCCATCTCCTAGACAGAGGTCCGGCCAAGCAGCTCTGTATGCTGGCACGTCCGCGGGTGACATCGCCACAGCTCCCATTGGCTGTGGTTCCCGGCCAATAGGAGCTGCAGAGCTGGGGCTTGGGATGGGGGCAGTGTGCAGAGCCCCCTTGATGCTCCTACAGGTAGGAGCTGGAGAAGGGACATGCCACTGCTTCCGGGAGCTGCAGCTAGCCCCGCTATGTTGCTGACTGGACTTTTAATGTCCCTGTCAGTGGTGCTGACCTGAGCCACCAGGATCCCTTTTCGACCAGGCGTTCCGGTCGAAAATCGGACACCTGGCCACCCTACCTCTTGAATTTACTCCTTTTTCTAAACAGGTAAGCTTAAGGACTTACACTTGCTTGCATCACATTGAATTTGGCTCAGTATCTTTAATTTAGTTCCCCTATGGTATTTATAGAGCATCAATCACAATAGTATCTAGGTATCTATGAATAAAATTCTGCTATCAGTTACACTGATGTACATCTGGAATAATTTAATTGAGGTAAATAGAATTACTTCAGCTTTACACCAGTGAACCGAGCAGAATTTAGCCTAAATATCTAAAAAGAAAAGGAGTACTTGTGGCACCTTAGAGACTAACAAATTTATTTGACCATAAGCTTTCATGAAAAAGTACTCCTTTTTGCGAGTACAGACTAACACGGCTGCTACTCTGAAATCTAAATATCTAATTAGCCTCTAAGTTTCATACTTAGTTCTGAACTTGAACCACTTTTCCACAGACCACATCCTCTATATGCTATTTGCAGATCTTTTGCAGACTATGTGCAGTATCATTTTTTCTCTTGCAGTTCAGTATGGCATCATATTAAGTAGGAAGTTGTGGCAGTCACTTGAGGCTATAATAGTAGGAAGTTGCTACAGTTTCTATTATTTGAACTGTATCAAGTCCCGAGAGCATATGGCCCTTCTAATATATATGGATGATGCCCTCAGTAGATGATAGCCATTTTTGGATATGAGATGTCCAGCAATATGATCTGTGTATTTTTGGCTAGTGTGAAGTACTGTTGCATTGATTGTGTAAAGACTACTGATAGTGATTTTTTGCATATGTCTATTGAACCAAATCACTGATAGGTTAGAAGGAAACCATGGAATCTATTCTCCTTTCCATACATGCACAGAATTTCTGATGGCATTAATGGGAATTTCATTAGACATATAGAAAAAAGAATAAGGTTGGTCCTAAATCAGGTATCTTGCACTGACACATTTAATCTGTAAAGACCTGTTATGTGTGGATTGTCGTCCAGGTTATTTGTATTTTGTGATGCTCTTTTTTCTGTTTATGTGATGTTTAGAGATTATGGGCCTAATTCTGTCTGAAACCTAGAAATTGGTGTAACAGACCCCTGAATGAGCATGCAGATACACTGCAGAGGCAATGTTTACAACTATCCTCCTTCTTATCAAAGCCTATATTCAAACAATCTGTGCTTTCCTACTAACAGAAGAGGTAACTTACTGAAGACTTATGGCTGTTTCTGCACAAAAGCCATTTCACAGTTAGGAAGTGTATGAGCATAAATATTGTAGTATGCCACGTAATATGCCTCTGCTACTCATATCTTGACTAGCCTGAGGGGTAATGTCTGTGCTCATATTTCTGAGCCATTTTAAGTGTGGTTGAGTTTTTTCATTTAAAAAAAAGTTTGTCATTTACAGGGTACATGCTTAGGATCCTATGTTTTAAGGCAGGGTTTCTCAAACTGGGGGTCGGGACCCCTCAGGATGTCGTGAGGTTATTACATGGGGGGTCACAAGCTGTCAGCCTTCACCCCAAACCCCGCTTTGTCTCCAGCATTTATAATGGGATTAAATATATTTAAAAGTGTTTTTAATTTATAAGGGGGGTTGCACTCAGAGGCTTGCTATGTGAAAGGGATCACCAGTACAAAAGTTTGAGAACCACTGTTTTAAGGGGTAGGTTTCACATAGACAAATCCCTGGGTGGCTCAGTTCCCTTCTAGGTGAAGAACTCTGTACTTGGGCTCTTAAAAGTCTAGTCCACTGGCAATGTGAGACTGTAGCTCACAGCACAATTCATTATTCTGGCATGTTGTAAGTGTGCTTTTGTTTGGGACCTTGCTTATCATGGCTGCCCTTGATCTTTGTTGCTTGCTAAAATGTAAAGTGTATGTATCTAGTTCCGTAAGCTGGAAATAGGAGGGGTAGGGTTTTTTTTTTTTGTGCGTAATGGTCGGGTAAACGTTTCCGACTTACGCAAAATTCGAGTTATGCAAGGCTTTCCGGAATGGAACGATTGCGTAAGTCGGGGAGCGTTTGTATTGTTAACAGTATGTTGGGTAGATTTTAATAGAACTTGAGACTTGCAGACTGAAGAAAAACATATTGGTAGATATTTTTCATTTTGAATTAGTCAAAAAAGTCTTTAGTGTCAAGACTTCATAAAGTGTAAAGATTGTAAAGAAGAATATGAATTACCACTGAAATTTTTATTTATAATGCATTTTCATTCAGTCCTACCTTTTCTTTTTTTAATTATAATTTGCAGATTTTGACAAGTGATTGAGCTTTTATTGTCAAATTCAAGTTATTTGTTTTTATTGGTTTGATACACATGTAAATACTGAAGCTGAGCTGGGGTGGGGTGGAGTTTTCAAAAGCACCTATGTAACGCAGCACAAATTTTATTGATTTTCAGTGAGACTTGTGCATGTGAGGGCTGGTCTACCGAAAACTTATATCAGCATGGTGACGTGTCTCAGGAGTGCGAAACTATGCCAAACTAAACCCTGGTATAGACAGGGCTAGGTTGATGGAAGAATTCGTCTGTCAATCTAGTTACTGCCTCTAGGGCAGATGGATTAACTACAGTGATGGGGGAACCCCTCCTGTCAGTGCAGTGAGTGTCTACAGTGAAGCATTATAGTGGCCTAAAGCTGTGCCACTGTAATAGGGTATGTATAGACAAGCCCTTAGAAAATCCCACTACTAAAGCAATACTCCATGTGTGGACTCACAATTCTGCTGTTAGAACAATAGAAAGAACAACATGCTATAAACACTACTAGGAATACAATTAAAGAAAGGGCTAGGCTAAACATTTATTCTTAATAGTACATATTTACAGAGTGCAGTGACATAATAAAATAGTGTTTATGTTGTAAGTCATTGTGGTTTAAATCCTCAGCCCAGCACCCATACTGAATACCTGGATTTGGCATTGAGTAGATGGGCTAGTCCATAGGGGAAAGAATTCTCTTTCGTAGAGTGTAGAGTCACTCCATGGATGCTACTTTAGTCCAGTAGTTGAAATAACCATCGGTAGGCTCAACTTGTCCCCCTCCCCTCCTGCACCCAACAGGAGTGAGCACTGGAGGATCCACACAGTGGTGGGCCCTCTGTCACCTGCTTCTGCAAACTAATGCAGAGGGAATCCTTACTGAGTGGGCCTCTTCACTGTAGAAGGGCTGCATGCATCCTGCTTATCCCACCCCAGACCCATTTTGGATAACACCTTGTTTGCGAGTCCAGGTGATAGGGGAGATAGTGTAGTTGTCAGCAAGGTAAAAAACAGAGGAAATTGAGAGAGATTACTAAGAAATTTCATTTTGGACATGTTAAATTTGAGGTAGTTGCAGGACACTCCTGAGGAGATGATATAAAGGCATTTGGAGACGTGAGTCTGGATAGTTGGATGGGAGGTCAGGGTTATGGAGATAGATTTGGAAAATGCCATCATAGAGTTTGTATCTTAGATAGTGAGAGCAGATGAGGTCACCTGAAGAGCGAGTAAAGGAGGGCAAGAGAGGCAGTGTAAGGGTAGAACCAGGGTGGAATTGATTTAAATCAATTTGATTTAAATCATGATTTAAATCACTAGTCAGGAAGACTCAATTTAATCATGGATTTCTACATAAAAGTGCATTTTTGTGGTTGTTATAACCTTAATACAGCAAACATATAATATTTTAACAAAACAAGCACATGAATTTTTGAATTTAGTTTAAACATTCAAGTTTTTTAAAATCAGGTTTGTTTTTGTTAAAATTGTTTTTAACTAAAATAGTTAAATGAAATATTTAAAAAAACAAAAATTAAATTGATTACGTCAGCCCGGTCAACATGAGAAACTTAAAATATTGGCTTTTGCAGCTAACTCAGTTGTCTTCACTTTTATTTTCCTGTTTCCTCATAATCTGGAAAAGAAAAACAAGCTTTCCTGCTTTTCAGGTCCAAAACGATTTCTCAATTTGGAATGAATTAGTCCAAAGAAAGAAAATATTCTTTATACACTGGCAGAAGAAGTTACTGCTGTTAAAAGTGAGATTATCATTTCAACAGTCTCTGAATCCAAGTGCTTAAGTGACTTCCACCAGTGAACTGGTGGGACTTTCTTTAAAACATCATCGGCAAACATATGTTTCTTGAATGGTTCACCTTTAGCTCTGAAGTTTATTATTTATTGAGTGATCACTTTAGATAAGCTATTACCAGCAGGAGAGTGGGGTGGGAGGAGGTGTTGTTTCATGGTCTCTGTGTATATGATGTCTTCTGCAGTTTCCACAGTATGCATCCGATGAAGTGAGCTGTAGCTCACGAAAGCTTATGCTCAAATAAATTGGTTAGTCTCTAAGGTGCCACAAGTACTCCTTTTCTTTTTGCGAATACAGACTAACACGGCTGTTACTCTGAAAAAAGTTTATTATAGTTGGCATTATGGAGGGATGATTGCTGGATGTCCATGTCATAGCCAACTCCTCTTCTTCAGCAGTTAAGGTTTGACCCTGGTACCGAGTATTGAGAATATTTGCAAGAAAATGAGCTGGCGATAGTGTTTGTCCCATTCATTTTTTTAAGGCTTGTAATTTAACTCTGTCATTGCATATTTCTCTTTTTAAGATCTCACTCAGTTCCTTCCAAATGTCAACAGTGTCAGCAAGAAAACAGCTATTTCCCTGCATTTTTTTCAAGGCTACAGAAATAGGCTTCAGGGTACTCAGCATGTGTTCAGCATTTCTCTTAAGCCCAAGGTTGAGAACGTTGGTTGTGACAGTGCCATCTGTTTTTTCACGATTTTGTTCACAAACTGTCATCAGATTAGGCCGGTTCTTGATATAGTGCTCAAAACAGTTTTTCAGAGGGTGGAGATGGATGGCAGGAGAGAGCTCAGTAGATCATTACCTGTTAGGTTCACTCCCTCAGGGGCACCTGTCATTGGCCACTGTCGGTAGACAAGATACTGGGCTGGATGGACCTTTGGTCTGACCCAGTATGGCCGTTCTTATGTACACTACTGAGTTCCATCACACGTCTTGTGGGAGAGTTAGCTTGGTTCCTCCCACTTTTTTCAGAGCAGCTGCTGCAAAGTGGTTGTTACGGAAGTATTTTGCAATTTCAACATTAGCCTTTATTTCTGTAACACTGAAGTCTTTGGCTAGGAGGTGCATCAAATGAGCACTGCAACCGTATGTTATTAACTTGGGACTGTCTTCTAAATTTCTTCTCATGTTGGATACATTTGCAGCATTATCGGTGACCAGGCTGCATACTAGACATTTGAATTTTTTTTCACAGTTTGTTACAGCTTTTTGTAAGTATTCTGCTGTGTGTGCATTTCCTTATTGTCTAATGTTTCTGTAAAGAAGACATTCCCTTCTTCTGTTGTCACACAAGCACATACAACAGGATCATTGTGGACATTGCTCCACACATCAAGACTCAGGTTAACAATTTCCCCCTTTAGACCTTTTGCACACTGCTCAATTTCTCTTTCATACACTTTATCCAGCAATTTGCCTGCAACATCTGCTCTGTTGGGTGGACTGTATCCTGGTCTTAATGACTGAACCATGTTAATGAAGTGTGGGTTCTCAATCATACGGAAAGGAGGGTTTGTTGCATAAACAAACTGAGCAATTTTTTCATCAATTACCTGTTTTTGTAATCTTCTGGTTCTTATCACAAACTTAACTATGGTTGTTTCTGAATGATGGAGATTTTTTTTTCTTTTTGCTACAGGTGATATACTGTGGCTATGTGACATACATGATGTGACTGAAACACTATCATTGGTAGATAACTCTGAAACTATTGAAAATGATGGTGATCTTGACTGTGGATAGTCTTCAGAATCCTGTATGTTGAGGATGGATTCTCCTAAACAAAATAAGTCAATGCAGTTATTTAATTATTATTATCACACTGCTCATTTAGTATTACTCATTGCATTCACTGACACTCAGTACTACTTTAAAGGTGAAATTGTAAAAGGAAGATCTGCCTATTTCAGCTATTTATTTTTTTTATCACAACTGCATCTAAAATAATAGTACCATAGAGTAACAACTATATTTTTTGCTCAAACATGAGAATTCAAAAATAGTCCAGAAGGAAGACAGGCAGCCTTTAAGAAAGAAGTATGAAATAAAAACGTTTACCAACCTGAAGATCCTGCATGTTCAAACATGTTCTTTTCATCATCTTCAATGCAGCTTCCTCCTGAGAAGGATCACTTCTCATGATGTTGTTTCATTTGGGCAACCAGGCCTTGCATTTCATTGTTGCACTGTTTGCATTTTGTACGCATGCCTTCTTACCCACAGGTAGAGGATCTTCATTAAAATATTCCCAAACTGGGTCTCTTTTACGGCCTGCTGCCATTATAGGTTTTCCCTTCCAGTGAGTGAATGCTATGATAGATCTCAAATCAATGAAGGCTACACTCAGAAAGACCTCAAGACTTCTGGAATATGCTGCTCAAACGGTTTCACTTTTGTTTCTGCTGCCTGTCCCTCCCTTCACACATTTATCTCCAGACTTCTTCTGCTTGTCCAGATATATTCTGCCCCCAACAATCTTCTTATTCACTGAACTTTTTGAAACTTTGCACTTTTAGAGAGAGGTAAGGGATTGACTCTGTGTACACAAATTTGCAGAGGGACAATAGCGTTGAGGTCTGTTATTTCTCACCTCTTTATTATTAATTTAAAAATATTTTTGCTGTTAACAAGCATGTTATCTCTGGAGACACAAATCCACAGTTTGAGAACTGCAAAATTAAGCATCTCTGACGGTATCTTCTGGGCTGCGCATTGAGTCCCATTGGATAGATAGAAAGATTAACCTAAATAATCTATACAGAAGTCCCTGGAACCCCATAAGATTGGGTCCCTAATCCATGAACTATTGGAACTCATTTACAAATCTTTTCCTAAACATTACATGAATATATTGTCTCATACTATAGAATTATAATTTATAATCCCTTTTCCATGATGAGATATCTTTGAGCTATACTGTATCTTTACATAGGTTTTTTCCTCAAAAAGCATTTTATCAAAAAAATCCGATTTAAATTAAAAAAAAATTATTAAAAAAAATAGTTGATTTTTATCCACTCTGGATAGAACCTTAAGGGGTGTCAACAGAGTGGAAAAGGGCAAAGGAGATAGAGCAGTGAAATGAGATGATAATGGTTATTGTGGTAGGAGAACCAGAATCCTACAATCTCAGAAGCCTAAAGAGCAGAGCAAACAGAGGAGAAAGTGATCAACTTTATAAATGCAGAAGAACATCTGTACCAAACTGAACCAGCAGTGAGTAGGGGAGAAGGTGGCCATGATGGTTTGGAAGTAGAGATAGGGTGGAACTAATGTACAAGTAATTAAATACAATCCAGTTAATGCAAGTGATGTGTGTAGCAGATTTTTTTTAGGATTTTCAGTTACTACTTCTATTACCAGGAGATCACTCAAGTATGCTTATGAGTATCACTTAGAAGAAACTAAGAGTGGGCATAAATTTCAGGGCCAGCCACTGACACAAATGTGTGTTAAAGGGTTCTGAGAAAACAGCATACTTCTCAGCCAGCTGCTCAGTGCCTTATCACTTAGGTTGGGCAAATAGTGTTCTTCCCAGCCCACTGGGCTGTGGTTTCTACTCCCCTCAGCTTACTTCACCTTATTGTATTGTGAATAACAAAACACCATGCTTCGTAGTCCCCAATGTTCCAGGTTTTGCAACACTTATTTGTTCCCTGATGGGTTACCTGTCACTGTAAACAAAAATTTCCTGAAAAGTATTTTACTGTGAGAGAAATATGAGTCTATAATTAACGTTTTTCCATCTACAAAGTGATTCAGTTAGTCAGTTTGGTCAGGCCGTTGTCTTCCTCCTTTTTTAAAATAGCCACAGAATGACAGGATTAAAATACTGCATTGTGTTTACACAGATAGGTACACAGGGCTAAATTCTGCACTCAGATAAGAGTGCAGGACTCACATTAGCTTCAGGACTCGTATTAACTTTTGTGGCTGTTGTTCAAGTTCATCTAAGAATGTGGCCCAGAGTAAATATCACACAATTCCCACAAATTGTTTATTGAAAAAATGGATGTGCTTTGAAATTTTGTTTTATTGTTGAAGGAGATCTTTTCTCTGATTTTGATGAAATAGCAGTTCTTTCCTTTTTTCCTTTAGTTGTCATGGATGATGACGACGATGAGTCCTGTCTCCTTGATCTTATTGGGTAAGTTCTCCTTAAGAAATTCTTAAAGAAGAATCTATGCAAAAATCATTGTACAAAAATAATCCATATAAAAGATGATTAATTTCCAGAAGTCTCTGAAAGTTGGTGTCATGTGATAGTTTGGAGGCCTGTAAGTGAAATGAACAGATAGTCACAATCAAAGTTTATGCTAATTGGTAGTCCACTGGTATTTGGCATGACACTGACTTCCCCTCTTGCCCAATGATGATTCTGTCAGGTCAGTGCTGAGTCACATTAGGAAACAGGGAAACTTATCCTACGCTATTGATGCAAAGAAAATACCTCTTTTTTTGGCTAGATAAAGGACTTTAGCCTTCAGGGCTGTAAGTATAGCACCTTCACAAACATTACCTTCTAAATGAAAATATAGTTAAAATATATAGACTGTTTCAAAATACAAGCCACCAAAATTATTTTTACAGAAGATAAAATGCATTTGTGTACCAGTTTAATAAGAGTTGAATTGTTACCCAGTATTATAAAGAATTACAAACAATCAGGAATTTTAAAGGTTATCAACTTTTGTCTTTTCAAAGGCATTTTTATTTTAAATCCCTAATTGTGTAAAAAAACCAACCAAACCAACCCCCCCCCCCCAACCAGCCAACCAAAACCACAGTCTTCCTACTTTGAATTATTTCTATTCCATTCTATACCACTTTTACATGCAAATTGATGTGTATTCCATATGGGATTCAAAAATCAATATTTAGGTACAGTTGCCACCAAGAAAAGCTTTGTGGAATTGAGGTATATTCACTGTAGGCATGGTGAAGTCCTTTTCCCTTGGCTGGCAAAAATATCAGTATAGTTCGTTAAGAGCAGACATTTATCGTAATATGTCCAAAATGTGTAGAATATATTGAATATCCAATATCTAGTACTTTTTTCAGACTGAATTTTTTTCCAAATGTTATGCCAGTCACTGCAATAGGAAAGTTTTCCTGCATGGTTCTAGGTATAGATGAAGTCAAGAAGACAAATCTACCCACATATGTCAAGTATAGAGAATAGTGAGCTTTATCTTGCATTGTTTATGCACCCAAAACTTCCACTGAAACTAGTGAGAGCCTTGAATGCAAAAGGAATGAAGGAAGTATCAGGCCCAATAATCACTATAATTAGATTAGACTAGTATGTGAATAGGCTACCAAAATAACAAATTGTTGGTAGTGTTGCCTAACAATCGTCATGTACAGTATTATAATATGAGACTGCTGACTTCAGCCACCAAAGGGAACATATTTACATCCTGCTTGGAACATCATCTTAAGAATTGTCCAAATGGAAGCAAAAGTGGAACAGCTCAATAATAAGCCAAGTTACAAGAATTCCAGTCCAAGTCCACAGAATGCTCAGAAGATGAGGTCCTACAAATAGGAGGGTGTTGGGGTGTAATGCATTATTTGTTGTAGTGTCCTTTTTTACTGCTTGTATCAGCTATCATTCAGAGCATATGGCAGGACAGAAAAACTGAAGTTTGTCTCCATTAAATCTTTCAGTTTGGTAAGTGTCTTCTTATCTTTATGGATTTATTTTTAGAAATAATAAAAGTTATAAGAAAGGATGGTTAGCTGGGTGATGATGAAACATCAACATTTAAATTTGTCATGATCATTAAAGCTGGTAAGCATCAGCAAAACCTCATAAACCCAACGTGTTCATATATGAATGAGACAGTGAAGCCTTTCCCCTTTGTCCTTTTAATGTTCTGTAATCTGTACTGAAAATAAGATTTCTTTTAAAAATATAGTGTGTGAAGGTTGTAGTGTGTGTGAGTAGAATCTGATCTTAGATGCCTAGATGTTAACTGAGTGTCATGTATATCATGCAATATGTTTAAAATGTGTATAGTATAACTTCTGTTTGAGCTACAGCATAGCTTTTAGAAATATATCTAGTCTTAATTTAAAGATTTCAGGTGATGGAAAATCCACCAAGTCCCTAGCAGTGTTGTTCCAATAATTAATTACCCTCACTGTTAAAAATTTACACCTTATTTCTTGCCTGAATTCGCCCATTTTCCACTTTCAATCATTTGAACTCACTATACACCTTTTCCAGCTAGATTACAGAGCCCTCTGCTCTACTATATGCATTAATATTAATTTTATACAGGTATTAGGTTTCCAGCTCTCTCCTTTTAAAAAAAAAATTCCCATTTAAATTAAAATAAGTATAAAAGTCATTTCTTTAATTAGTGGAAATAACTAGTAAGCAAAAGCTTACCATCTTATTAGCAGAACAAGTGGCAGGAAACAAATATAGGTCCATTCTAAGATTAACTCTGTAGTTTACATTTAAAAATCACTATTTGTCTTATTATCGCAATGGAGTTTGAACTGGAATGTACTTTATGAAGATTTTGAAAACGATTCAGGTTTTTCCCCCTATTTTCAATCTAGTTTAATTAAAAGCCAACTGTGATTATTTATTGTGGCTAATTAGGCTTGATTTAAATAGATATGACAATTAGCTGAGTTGGAATGAATCAGATACCCAATTCCATGAAAATGTTTGCATACTAAACTAAAGCCGTATTCTAGAGGCACAGAGTACAACTGGCTGAACCAGAAGGGTTCAGGGCATGCGTATAGTAGCAGCATGACTTTCTTGGTGTTTGTGAGCTTATGCTAGGTGGAAACTTGAGGTGTCTTTATTTTGTTTTCTATTTTTCTTTTAGGATGATCAAGAAAGAAGAGGGAAAGTTTCAGATTGACCTTGGTGTTTATTGGGGAGATCCATAACAATGTTTTATTAGTACTATTTACAAATAAAGATTATTTCTTTTAAATCAAAGAGTTCATGTAACTTTTTGAATTGAATGTGTACATTAATGGGTGTGTGAAGAAAATAATTGCTATATTTAGCAATAACTACAAAGTAATCCCTGTAACTTAGTCACATATTTGTTTGCATACAGTGAGAAATTTTACCACCAGATTTGCATTGCATGAATGTGTATTTTTTAAATACACTTGAACTCCAAATACTTAGTTCATCTAGCTGCACTTTTTTTAATTGTGTATCACTCTTTCATTTAACAAAATATTATCTTGAAGGCTCTTAAGCAAAATAAGCTGTCATGGGAGGGTAACTGGTTAAAAGATATGAAACAAAGGGTAGGAATAAATGGTCAGTTTTCAGAATGGAGAGGGGTAAATAGTGGTGTCCCTCAGGGGTCTGTACTGGGACCAGTCCTATTCTACATATTCATAAATGATCTGGAAAAAGGGGTAAACAAGTGAGGTGGCAAAATTTGCAGATGATACAAAATTACTTGAGATAGTTAAGTCCCAAGCAGACTGCGAAGAGCTACAAAATGATCTCGCATAACTAGGTGGCTGGGCAACAAAATGGCAGATGGAATTCAATGTTGACAAATGCAAAGTAATGCACATTAGAAAACATAATTTCAACTATATATATAACAGGGGTTCTCAAACTGGGGGTTGGGACCCCTCAGGGGGTCATGAGGTTATTACTTGGGGGGGTCGTGAGCTGTCAGCCTCCACCCCAAACCTGGCTTTGCGTCCAGCATTTATAATGGTGTTAAATATATAAAAAAGTGTTTTTAATTTATAAGGAGGGTTGCACTCAGAGGCTTGCTATATGAAAGGGGTCACCAGTACAAAAGTTTGAGAACCACTGATATATAAAATAATGGGGTCTAAATTAGCTGTTACCATTCAAGAAAGAGATCTTGGAGTAATTGTGGATAATTGTCTGAAAACATCCACTCAATGTGCAGCGGCAGTCAAAAAAGCGAAAACAATGTTGGGAATCATTAAGGAAGGGATAGATAATAAGACAGAAAATATCATATTGCCTCTATATAAATTCATGATACGCCCACATCTTGAATACTGTGTACAGATGTGATCACCCCATCTCAAAAAAGATATATTGGATCTGGAAAAGGTTCAGAAAAGGGCAACAAAAATGATTAGGGGTATGGAGCGGCTGCCGTATAAGGAGAGTTTAATAAGACAGGAACTTTTTAGCTTGGAAAAGAGACTAAGGGGGGATATGATAGAGGTCTATAAAATCATGACTGGTGTGGAGAAAGTAAATAAGGAAGTGTTATTTACTCCTCATAAAACATGAAATAGGGGTCACCAAATGAAATTAATAGGCAGCAGGTTTAAAACAAACACAAGGAAGTATTTTTTCACACAATGCACAGTCAACCTGTGGAACTCCTTGCCAGAGGATGTTGTGAAGGACAAGATTATAACTAGTTAAAAAAAAGAACTAGATAAATTCATGGAGGATAAGTCTATCAATGGCTATTAGCCAAAATGGTCAGGGATGGTGTCCCTTGTTTCTGTTTGCCAGAAGCTGAGAATGGGAGACGGAATGGATCACTTGATGATTACCTGTTCTATTAATTCCTTCTGGAAGACCTGGCATTTGCCACTGTTGGAAGACAGGATACTGGGCTAGATGGACCTTTGATCTGACCCAGTATGGCCTTTCTTATCAAGTTATCAAAGGAAAAATGCATTTAGTCAGTTACACAGTTGATTTGGAAAAGATATAGCTTTTTCCCCCAGAGAAGATAATGATGATGATCTTGAGAAAATTTTCTTTTTTATTAATAGATTGGCAAGAAAACATCTTAAATGTTTAGTTTTTATTTATTTATTAAATATGGTAGCTCTTTATCAGGACACTAACCAATTTGCAGGCAATAGAGCTGATTAGAGGAGATTATTCCTATTTTAGTGCTTACATTTCTTGATCTAATATCATTGTTTGTCCATTTAATGCAAACTCTTTTGTGTTGTAGATTATTGGGTATTTATTTTAACAGATGGTGTAATCAGTAGTGGCCTATAGAATGGAAGTAAACATGTAAAGTGATATTTAGATCTTTTTGTAGTAATGAAAAAAAAAGGCGAAAAATATAAATTTACATATTAACATGGTTAGCTGAAAACAAAAAAGAGATCCTCGGCTGATGTAAGTTGGTATAGATCTGTTGAAGTCAGTGGAGCTACACTGATTTACATGAATGGAGCACCTGGCTCAAGGTTTTTATTATTTTTTGTCTTAATTATGCTTTTTTAACAAATGTAAGTACTTAAAAGTGATAACTTCTTTTGTTTCTTTTTAAAAAGAGATCCACAGGCACTGAATTATTTTCTACATGGACCTAGTAGTAAATCTGTAAGTAGTATTCTACTATACTATTCTAAAATTACACGGACTTTAGTGACTGCTTTACTATTAGTTTAACGTTACTTTACTACATTTGTGCCTTAACAGAGCAATGAAGACTTGACTAATGCAGGGTACTCTGCAGCCAATTCTAATTCAATTTTCGCCAACTCCAATGTAAGTATTCAGAAGAGAAAATGTGTATTTATTGTGACTACACGCTTTCGTCATGGTTTGTTTGTCCTGTATACAGCTAAATGGAGTAGATGTTGAGAATGTTAATAAATGACATAAAATAGGCACGTCTAGACCTGGAAACCTGTGAATGAATGTTCAAAGCACCTATAACTTTTTTGTAGTCACAGGTTTTATAGAGGCAAATTGTCTGCCCTCATCATCTGCTCCTTTTATTTATTTATGATATTTATTTTATTAACATTTATATTGCACTACAAACATGTAGCGAATGACATTATTCCCTACTCCAAACAGCTTACAGTCTAAAAGACAAAGATGTGACAGGAGGATAAGAAAAACACGTTGGTTGGATGAAACTGGGAAAATGGTTTTAGGGTGTGCACAATTTTCAGCTAGCCAGGAACAATGATCACAATTTGCCACCTATGTCGCCATCATTAGACAGCAGTTCCCGGTATATACCATGGTACAGGTGAATTTTAAGGAGGCACATGAAGGAGAGTAAAGTCGTGGATTTTGACTAGGGTCTCTTCCCACGTGTCAGAGAGAAAGCAGGAAGGTGCTCATGGGAGAAGTGGGCATTGTGACATTTCTTTCCCATGACAGTCAGTGGTTGCTCCCTTCGGTCCTGCTGATTAGCAGGAGTGGGGGAAGCAGGAGCCTATTTCCTGCATGTCTCAGAAACTGGAGACTTTGGGGGTGCCCATAGGAAACGGTATTAAGGGGAGACAGGAGACGCTGGGGAAGGTGGGTATTGCTGAGGGCAATGGGATTGTTTTGCGGGAGGAGTGATCCTTTAGGGGCTGTGGGAGAGGCAGAGAGCCTGCTACAGCCTGAGACGTTTGTGATGGGCAAGTAGCCAGGAGGGCAGTGGGAGCTGGGGCAGGAGGGCTTTTGGTTGTAGGTTCGTGGGGCACTATCCTGCATTCTTCCCTCACTGCCATTTAGAGTAATAGGATTTAAGGCCAGGAGCGACCATCAGATCAATCTAGTCTGACCTGTGTATCACAGGACACCAATACATGCACACTAAACCCGATAGCTGAAATTAGACTAAGGTGTTACAGCCCACAGGAAACTAAACTATTATAACCCACCAGCAGAGTAGGAGGGACTGAGGTGCACCAGTACCAAAGGACCCTTCAGTGGCAGGATATTAAGTGAAATACACCCACATGGACCTGACAAGCGACCTGCACCCGTACCACAGAGGATGGTGAAGAATCCCCAAGGTCAATGCCAGTATGACCTGCAGAAAAATTCCTTCCTGACCCCACATAGGGCAACCAGCCTCTAAGTATGTGAGCAAGAACAAGCCAGCCAAGCACCTGAGAGAGAATTCTCAGTACCACCCAGAATTCCATCCAGGGTCCCATCTCCAGCCATCGCCATCTGTGATGCTTCAAAGGAGACAAAAAAGCAAAACAAAAAACCCACAAAAACCAATATCAAAACACCCAAACCAACACCAGAATATATTGGGGGGGAAATACCTTGATGACCCCTACAGGTGACAGCTATGCATGAGCTTTTAAGAATATCAGACATGAACCAGAAGGCATTCTCAAGGTTGCTGTGCCCAGCCCCCCTCCATCACAAGCAATCATGTCATACATCCCACTCATAAATTGGTCTGGCTCTCTTTTAAAACTAATTAAGTTGTTTGTCCCCACAGCTCCTATTGGGAGGCTGTTCCTAAACGTCACTCCTCTGATGGTTAGAAACAGTCTCCTGATCTCCAGCCTGCATTTGTTCAAAGCCATTTTATACCCATTTTTTCTAATGCTAGCCCATGTCACTCACTGTGTTCTATTTTCAGCCTCTCATATACCCTCTGCTGCCACCACTGCCTTTTCCTAGAGTGGAATGCACCACAATGACATGACTCCCTGCACATGGAGAGGGAGTGGCCAGAGCACAATTCCCAGATGATGGACGGTCCTTTGGGTAGCATAGTCAGCTGGTACATGTTAGAGCAGTCCTCAGGCTGTTCTCATGTGGACAGAGAATCTGGGAGATGTAACCAGGTTTCAATTAGTCCCACTTCTGCTGCACCTAATAGAAGGTGCACACAGCAGAGAATCTGGCCCCTAAATTTTAGGTGTTTCTGAAGTGCTGATAGAGTATATGTGCCAGATTTAATCCATGTGTTTTCATGCATGTACTGTATATTATAGTTTTACAGGTAAAGTTGCAAGGTTTCTGTTACATTTTTTGAAAACCTTTAATAAAATAGCAAGAACTATCCCTCAGTATTCCAGAGTGACAGAGATGCTTTCATAAAATAAGCTAGATTCAGTAAAAGGCAGACACCAACATGAATTGAATAAATAAATTATACTCATGGAGTAGTGTGGCAATCAAAGAAAGGGGGACGAAAGCAAACATTGAAGGTAGAGGTATGAGAGTTTTCTAATATGACAATATGTGTCATGCAGCAGTTTGCACAATGTTTATGTGAGACGTCCAAAGCCAAAAATTCCTTACCCTTCAGGGGCGAGGCAGAGTTCAGAATCTGAAATTGGCTCTGAATATCACACCCAGACCTTGCCAAAAAGGAATTGGGTTTTTGAAGACATCTTGGCTTTGAATGGGTTGAGATTTGAATTTTGCACCTTAGCAGTGCTGCCCCAGCAGTCTGTTTTGAGCGCATAAGTGATGTAAGGGCTTTGTGCTAGCCCTGTGCACGGGTTGAACTTCACCGTGCATACGTAGCTACAAGGATGTGTTGTTATAGAGGGGCTTTGTTTTTTGCAGGGAAAAATTTATTTGGAAACCGTTTGATTCTTACATTATTTAAAAAATGCAATGTAATTTATTTATTATTTTTCATTTTAGAACACTGATCCTAAATCCTCCATCAAAGGTGTAAGCAATCAGCTTGGAGAGGGGCCTAGTGATGGACTACAACTGTCAAGTAGCCTTCAGTTTCTTGAAGATGAACTTGAATCTTCTCCTTTACCTGATCTCAGTGAGGATCAGCCTTTTGATATTCTTCAGAAGTCCTTACAGGAGGCCAATATTACTGAACAGACTTTGGCAGAAGAGGCATATCTGGATGCCAGTATAGGTTCTAGCCAACAGTTTGCACAAGCTCAGCTTCATCCTTCTTCATCAGCATCCTTTACTCAGGCTTCTAATGTGTCTAATTACTCAGGTCAGACGCTGCAACCTATAGGAGTTACTCAAGTGGTACAGCAACCAGTTGGAGCATCTTTTGCAAGCAATACAGTTGGTGTGCAACATGGCTTTATGCAACATGTGGGAATTAGTGTTCCCAGCCAGCATTTGTCTAATAGTAATCAGATTAGTGGTTCGGGGCAGATACAGCTGATTGGTTCATTTAGTAATCAACCTTCCATGATGACTATTAACAACCTTGATGGATCTCAGATTATATTGAAAGGCAGTGGACAGCAAGCACCTGCAAACATGAGTAGTGGACTCTTGGTTCATAGACAAACTCCTAATGGTAACTCACTGTTTGGTAACTCAAATTCAAGTCCAGTAGCACAACCTGTAACCGTCCCATTTAACAGCACAAATTTTCAGACATCTTTACCAGTGCATAATATCATTATTCAGAGGGGTCTAGCACCAAATTCTAATAAAGTTCCGATTAATATCCAACCAAAGCCTATTCAGATGGGTCAGCAAACAGCTTACAATGTGAATAACTTGGGAATACAGCAGCATCATGTACAACAAGGGATTCCTTTTGCTTCAGCAAGTTCACCTCAAAATTCAGTAGTTGGTCCTCATATGTCTGTTAATATTGTTAATCAGCAAAACACAAGGAAATCAGTTACTCCTCAAACAGTTAGTAATGCTGGAGGTAGTATTGTTATCCATTCTCCTATGGGACAGCCTCATGTATCTCAAAATCAGTTTCTCATACCTACAAGTCTCTCTGTCAATTCTAATTCAGTTCATCATGTGCAGACCATAAATGGACAACTTCTTCAGACTCAACCTTCCCAGTTGGTTTCTAGCCAAGTATCTGCTGAGCATGTTATGCTGAACAGGAACTCTACAAGCATGCTCAGGGCCAACCATTCATATTCAGGACAGATGCTGAATAATCAGAATACAGCTGTTCAGTTAGTTTCTGGTCAGACATTTACAGCTCCTGGAAGTCAAGTTATAGTAAATCATGGAACTTCTCAAATTGTTGGTGGACAGGTGCCATTACAACAGGCATCACCAACAGTGTTGCATTTATCACCCAGTCAAAGTAGTGTTTCTCAAGGTAGATCAGGTTTTACTACAATGTCACCTGGACAGTCTACAGTCTCAAATATGTCAGCATCTAATCGATTTGCTGTTGTAAGTTCTTCTGGCACAGTACATCCCAGCCTGGGGCCACCAGTTCAGTCTGTTGCATCAGGAGGAAATTTTACTGGAGATCAACTTACACAGCAGAACAGAACACAAGTTTCAGTGAGTGTATCCCATTGTCTTCCAGTTTCCTCTTCGAAATCTATCAGCACTTTCAGTCGCACATCAGTAGGAGTAACGCAGCAACAGTTCACTTTTGCTCAGGTATGAATACCCTTTAAGTACCAACAAAACTGCACAAAAGCATTCTAAAGCATTACCTTTTTCTTTGGTGGGGAAGGACGTTAATAGGTGGTATCGTTTAATACTGTATTCTCCAAATATTCACACACAATTTACTGTGCTTACATTAATTGTTTTACAAACAAATATTGTTGATCTACTGAAAAAAAATCTAATCTTGCTGCAACCATTTAATCAAAAAACATCTTCGAATGTTTCTTTAATGTGGATGACTCTATCATTCCCATTAATTCAGAGAATCTTGCTTTTGTTGATTAGTGGTGTGATTTTTAAAAGTGTTCCATGTGTGCCTGTTTCTGCTTCCAGTGAAATCAATAGAAGTATTACCATCGATTTCAGTGGGAGCAGAACTATGCCAGCTCAGCACTTTTGAAAATTGCACTGTTAGAGTCATAAGGCAAAACTCTGTCATGTGCTAAGTACCTGAAGGTCATTTTGACTTCAATGAGAGTTACGCATGCGAAGGTCCCCTCAGTATTTGGCCCACATAAATTGGAGATGGGAAAGGGTATATGGTGCTCTAGGCCATTTCTCTGCCAGCACAGGATTATTCCCTGTAGCATATTTTATTTGTGTGGCTTTAAATGTCTCAGTGAGTTTGGATTTTCAGTTTTGGAGTTTGAGGCAGAGATACACTCTTGTGTAGACCATTGAAAGAGTTACAAAGAGGTTAATTTTATAGAGCTCTTTGGAGAGAAAAAATTCTCATATAATCAGTTGTGAAAGAAAAGCCTTATAAATATGCCTTATAAATATGCCTTCTTTAGTAAGTGATCAGTAAATATTAAAATAGTGATATTCTGTGTAACTCTGAATCAGAAACTGCATATGTGTTTTGAGATAGGAGAAATGAGCTGGATTGATTTGTGTTGTTGGGCGCAGTAAGTGAATGACGAGTGTCACGTGATCAGTAGTGGGAATTTACACCACTTCTGAAATCAGCTACAGTTATTTTGTGTTTTCCTTAAGCATAATAAATTGGTCTAGTTACCTGTTCTTCTTTGAGGTGGCCTCTGTACTTTCCCACTTGTGGGATGGGAGCTCTGGGAAGTTTTGAAAAGCAGTGTCCGTTGGAGCCACAGAAGTGTCCTCTTGTTGGCACTGAAAATTCTGAGGCATAAAAGGGCTGTGTGGCCCCAGCTACCTCAGTTCTTGTCCATGATTAGCTCTAGCTTTTTTCTGTGCTCGCAGCCATATTTTTAATTTCAAACCACCTTTATTTTATTGGTAAATTATATTTTAATTAATTAGTCAGTGTTAGGTAGTGTACCACTCTCTGGACCAGGATCCTTGTACAGCTTGTGAGACCCTCACAAGTTAAGAATATGCAGATATGATTTCCAGAGGAAAAAAGGGTTACTTAGTTATCTCACAAATGGTGACTTTCCATACTTTCTCTACTTCCTTGGCGTTGTACTCTCCTGCAACTCTTCAAATTTGTATATTTAGGACAGTGGCATTTATAAAACCTGTACTGAAGGCACTTATTAGGATGGGTAGGGATGGATAGTTTTTTGTTTTATGGGGACGTGGTACAGTAGTCTTGAAGATTTCCTTCCTCTTCTGCAGAAGGGCCTCCCAGAACATTTCAGTATTCCAGTGCTGCCAGTTCTACACAGGAAACGTGTTACACATCAGTACTCTTTGTACTTATGAGGACTGACTGGCACTGTGTTTATAAGATCTATTTATTTATATGTCAGGACAGAAAGTATAGAAGAGAAGGGAGTGTAGGGAAATAGTTAATTTCCAACCAGTCAGCACAACATGATTATTTTTCATGTTTGGGATTCCAAATGTCATTAAAATATCACACAACAGCTATTAGATGCTATGTGTGCCAGCTCATCTGAGATTTAAATTTATTAATATGATTGCACTGAGTTTTTCTATTAACATTTCTAGGTGTGGGGGTCATTGTGTTGGTATTGAGAGAAAGTAAAACTAGACTTACTGCTATTATGGCACAGTTAACCTTGCAGATGTTGAACTGTTTTAGAAGATTTAGATTTGGAGGGGGAATTCTTTGAAGGAAACTGGCCTATGTAGAGAAAATATAATATAATAAGAAATCTCCTCAGAAGACATGAGTATGTATTGAAAGTATAGTTTTTGTTCTCATTTTGTTTCTTTGATGCCATTCTTACATAATCACGGGGGGTAGGGGAAGAGTTGAACTCAATTGTAGGATTCATTTTTGTATTGTTATTAGGTCTGTTAAAACTTTCAGTGATTACTAGACTAACCTTAATTTCTCTATGGCATTTTCACAGGCTCAGAAAAAAGTTATGAACCAGTCCTCACCAGTTTCTGCATCAAAGTCACAGGATAGCTTGAGACAACCTCAGCTAACAGGTCTTCTGAGTAACACGTTGCCAGGTCAGATATTCTTTTCATGATGGTTTTCCCCAATCCCTCTGGCATTTGAAGTGGGTTCTCCTTCATTATGTCAGGCACTGACTGATGGTCGGTGGCAATGGGGAGTCCTAACAATTATTCTTTTTTTTTTTTCCGTTTGAGGGACAACGGTGCTGAGCCCACAGACTTTCTCTTTAACAATTGGTCATATGCTCTTTTTCCAGCAAGGATTGCTAGTAGCCATCTGATTCTATTTGCTGGAATGATAGACAAGATGTCTTTGTGCAATGAGCAGTTAAAAATATTTTCCCACAATCCAAATGTGTCATCTGTGTGATGTGTTTAAGCATAGGAAGTGAGAAATATCAAGTCACTTTCAAACTAAGGTCTTCTGCTGCAAAATTCCAGTTATGCCTTTGAGACTTCCCGCCATCCTCATGTGATAACAACTCTTAACTGCTCACCATTTTGTCTTTCCTAGTAATGGATGTCTTAGAATCTAATCAGCAGTTGTTGTTTTGTAAAGAGAATGTAAATATCAGTTTTCAGTTAAGGTAGTGATGCACTGAACACGAGAAGATATTATATGGGTTCTTGAAATGGCACCATCCTAATTACAATTTTAAAGTTTCTAATGTAGACTTAAGTCAACAGGAAATATCACTAGACTTCTAGTTCCATTTTGATTTAATATATTACAATGAATGTACATGTTCTACACAATGTTTTTGTGCAAAATGTAACAGTACTATTTGTGTTACATGTGGTGGGTGTGTTGGGCTGAGATAATTCCTCTAAATTATACAGTAAGACAATCAGATGGGAGGCTGTCCATCTGAATCTACAACAGTATGTGATCTAGCCACTCATTCACAACTTTTAATGGCGCTGCAGAGTCTTGAGTTTATAATCTTTGGGAACTATTAGAAAAAGCTGGATAGACTCCAGTTTATCTTTTTACAAATCCCTTTTGGGATGATGCTTATGATATTTGACTTTTTTCTTATTTTGGATGGATGTGTTTAGAGATTTTAGACTGATTTTCTTTATTTATAAACATTTTTATAGTTTTCAGCACTATAGTATCTGAGTACCATTTTACTATGTACTGATTTCCTTTCGTGACTGCGGTAGCAATACTTCTGTGCAGATATTATGTGTCAACATCAATCGAAATGTAATTTTCAGATCAAGTAAAGGATTAGGCACAGGACTTCAAATATTCTGTGATGATTTGTTTTAAGAATCATGAGTAATAGACTGTTTTTAATGTGTACTTTTACAGGACAGGATTCTGGAGGTAAAATCATCCAGCAACCTTTAGGAACAACACAATCACAGCAGGAAAATGTAGTAGGATCATCTCCTGTCCAACAACATGTGCAGGTAGGGAGCATTTTCCAGTTAATCTGTTTTTCTTAATTTTAATGAAGATAAGGAACCAGGAACAGTGTAGAAATATTAATTAATAATCTCCTACATGTTATTCTCATTGATCCCTACCCTAAACAAAATCATTAATCTTCCAAAAGTTTGTTTTGGTGGGAGGAAGGAAAGAGGAATGTCTTCCAACCCCTTAGAGATATTCCAGGAGCCTCTTTACAGTTTTAAAAGCTTTTAAAACAAAACCTTTTCCTATTTTCTAAATATGAATGAATCAATATAGCAATCTGAGTGAAGGTATGTCTGCTAATTCAATACTGTGCGCTCTGCTTTTGATATCTAATCAATCAGAAAAGTGCTCTAAGGCTACACCCCCTAGTTATTCCATAGCATTTTTTATTCTTTATGTGGTGGGACTCAATTGTTAACATTGTTGTTTACTACCTATGTGGTAGGTTTCTTTTTGGGGGGCTGTGTAAGATGAGATACGTAGTTTTACCCATTACTTACTTCATTCATGAGCAAAGCAGGAGTCATTTATGCTAGCTCACATTTATGGATGTTCATACAGGTGGATGTTCATACAGTTGGACAAAAGAGGCCTGCTGCTAAACAGCTAACAAAAGGAGCTTTGTAAGTCATCTTTTTTTTCATTTGTAGTTTTGTTATAGACATTTCTACTAACCTCTGCGTTTTTCACTCTGTCAGTTCGTAAACTGTAATATAGCCTTGCTGTATTAGAATAAATGTTAATTATTGATATTACTCACTTTCCTTTTAGTATCCTACAGCAGTTACAGAAGGAGCAGGCACATGCTGTGACACCAGATAAAAGTCAATTCAGATCATTAAATGATGCAGTCCAGAGACTCCTCTCATATCATGTGTGCCAGGGATCACTGCCAACCAAGGAGGATTTAAGAAAAGGTAATTTATATTTTAATTTGGTATGATAAAAGTTGTGCTGTTGTTTATAGAATTTTTAAGCAGTTAAATATTACATGGGCTGCTGAAAAAATTGATTGTGTAAATCAGAAAGACTAAACAGAAAGGACACTTTCGCGAGTCTGTGCTAGTTATTGAAGAACATTATCTAAATGTATTCCCTGTGTCTTTTTAGTGGACAGTGAATTTGAATCTGTAGCCACGCAGCTTCTGAAAAGGACACAAGCTATGCTAAATAAGTACAGATGTTTGCTCCTAGAAGATGCAATGGTAAGAATGATAAGCAAGAAAAAATTATTTTTGTGAAATGTATGGATCAGTTAATGCAAATTGGAATGAATTATTAAAACAGGTTTAATGATGCAGAACAGAGTGATCTCAGAGTTGTATTACTTCCCTCTGTATTCACAAGTATTGTGTGGCTACCACTGGGTAGCTGCAGTGGTTCTGCAACTGTACTGCTCAGACATTTGGGGCTAGGAGAGCCTGGAGTTGTGCTTTCAGAAGTGAAATTGGCTCTGCTTGGGAAGGGGTTAGAGAGGGTGGATAATGCCAGGAGAATTCTAGAACAGGGGTTTTTCTTCGAGTAATTGCTCATGTGTATTCCACAATAGGTGTGCGTGCTCGCCATGTGCACCGGTGCTGGAAGTTTTTCCCCTAGCAGTATCCGTAGGGGGGAGCACCCCCCTGCTACCCCTGGGCTGCGCTCCCCCCACCCTCAGTTCCTTCGTGCTGCCAGTGAAGGTGCGTCGGAATTGCTCAGCTCCAGTTCATCCCTAGAACTCTTCGTTTGATCAGTAGTACCTGTAGTCAGTTAGTTAATTCAGTTAGTTTAGTTAGTCATTGAGCCCGGTCCAGGGCATGGCCCGCGCTCCAGGCTTTGTCATGTGGCTCTTGTAGGCGTTCTATGCCAAGGAGCGACCTGCACGCAGATTGTCTGCGCTGCTTGGGAGAAACCCGTATCAGCGAAAGGTGCAAGATCTGCAAGTCTTTCAAGCCCCGGACTAAAAAAGAAAGGGACATTAGGCTCTGGGCCATCCTGATGGAGTTGGCGCTGGCCCCGACCCCGGCACGCCGCTCTGAACTGGTACCTGGCACTGAGGCGTCGATACGCGGAGACCCTCCAGTACCATCGTCCAGCCGGCACCGCTCCCCATCCACGGGCCATGCCAAGAGGACCGGAAAGACACCCTCTTTGCAACGGCACCAAGGGAAGTCTGGGATAGAGGCTAGGCCCATGTCAGGTAGTCCTTGATCCCCATCAGGCCCTAGGCCTCCGACTCACGTTGAGCAGAGTAGCCCAGCCCCTTCAGAGCAGGCCTCTCTGGATGTCCAGATGCCATCTACGCCCGAAGCCCTCCAGGCAGCCAGGGATGTCATGTCCATGCTGGTGCCCGGAGCTCCGCCGATGTTGGCCCCACACTCAGAGGCAAGCCGCCGCTGGGATCACCGCAGTCGCCACCGGCCTGGTACTGGTCTCGGTCAAGGGAACGTTCCTGACACCGCTCACTGCCCAGTGACTGTTCAGGGCTCAGTCCATGTGGATCGCCCTCGACACTGGCCAGACTGTTGGGATGGATGCTGTCCGACCGGGACTCACAGCACCGCTTGTCTTCGCGGAATGAATATCGACGGGACCGTGGTGGACGTCGCCAGTGGTCCTCGTCTTGCAGGAGTTACCGCAGTCGATTGCGGCTCGTTTAAAGTTGCGCAATGCTCCCTTATAACATTGTTTGGCAGCCGCCTGCTTTGTTCACTGCTTGTAGAAAGAGCAGCCTGTTGGAGCTAGCTGGTGGGGGCTTGGAACCAGGGTGGACTGGCAGCCCCCCTATCAGCTCCCCGTTCCCCTAAGTTCCCTGTGTGGCAGCCGCCCAGCAGGCTTTCAATTGCTGGCAGTTCAGCTGTCCCTCCTCCCGCTGCCATGTGCTGCTCCTGCCCTCTGCCTTGAAGCTGCTCCTGGGAGCCTCCTGCTTGCTGTGCGGGGGAGGCGAGGGGAAAAGGGGGGGGCTAATATTAGGGTGTCTCCCTCCCCCCTGCTCCTGCCACCCACTTACCCTATCTCCATAAAGCAGGGGGCAGGGGTGAGACGGACGGACATGAAGGGAGCTTGCAGGCAGCAGCTGCTGTCTCAACTTCCTGATTTACTTAAAAAGGCAGTGTACTTAGAGAGGGATCAGTGCACTTAAAGGGGCAATGCGCCACACACGCACACTCTCTCTCTCTCTCTGTCTATGTGTGTGTGTGTGTCACTGTCTGCCATGCTGTCATCCCTCCCTCCATTTGTGCTGCCTTGTGGAGTATGAGGCTACATTAACAATGTGTTAACCCTTGAGGGCTCAGCTGAGTTCTAGTTCATCATTTAGCAGGAAGGCATTCCCTGGGAAATATTCCACCCTCTGACTCCAGCACCTCAACCAAGCTTCACAATCATCATTGCTGTGTACAGTATTAAATTGTTTGTTTAAAACTTATACTGTGTATACATATATATAATATAGTCTTTTGTCTGGTGAAAAATATTTACCGGGAACCTAATCCCTCCTATATACATTAATTCTTGTGGGGAAATTGGAATAGCTTAACATCATTTTGCTTAATGTCGTATTTTTCAGGAACATAAGTACAACGTTAAGCGAGGAGTTACTATATTTAATAAATTTCAATTGGTATTCTGTTTCACAGTGTGATTAATTGTTTTTGAGTTAATCACATGAGCTAACTGCGATTAATCAACAGCTCTAAAAAGAACTCTTTGTTTGCTTCTCAATGTGCCAGTAATATCAGTTTCCCAACAATAAATGTAAGTCAGTACAAAAGCAAAGATAAAAATGATGTTACGGTTGGGAAAAAGAAGCTAGCGAAAATATGCACAGAGCCTGCTCATGGTCTTCCACATTGTTTAAGTGCCACAGTAGCCCCAAACATGTGACCCTCTGCTCCTCATGCATTCCAGAGATGTGTGCTTTGCTTGGCTCTGAATTGTTCAGCATGGAGGGGATCATTTTGTGGTGGTGTGGATAGGGCCTCTGGATCTATATTTATGTTGATCCAATGTCCAGCCGGGGGTGCTGAAAGGCAGAAAACTCTATACTGTGCCATAATCTGAAATAGTAGTAGTGGAGCGGTTATTACTTGCCTCTCACAAGCTATAGGTGGGTTTCTGGATTTTCACCAGACATGCATTTATTTAATGCGGGATGTAAGCATAAAAATTGGTTAGTTTTAGTTCTCAATGAGACTCAATAAATATTTGGAAATATTTCTTTTTTAAATAAAAATACTGTTGGGAAATAAAGTTAAGCCAATGGGAAAGTAATTTTCCTTGCTGCTAGGTATCCAAGGAGTATAGTTATCCAGATACACACAAGTGAGTATTCATATAGCTGGATTATCTGCACAGTGAAATAAACATAGAAGTGTTTATTTCAGAATAATACGTTGGAATCAAATGTGCTGATTTTCAGATAGGGGTATGTTACTGTGTGGTTATTTCTGATGCTCCATATCTTTATTTGTTGAAATGATCTCACATTGAAATTGTTCATTTCAGTGTGAGGTTCTAAGGTGTAGATCTCCAGAGATAAGCATGTTAGCAAGTGCTTGTATCTGCACTTGTTCATTTGTTCGTTTGTGGTAATGTGCAATGTGATTTCTTTACCCAAAAACCCCCTTGTATAATATCAAATTGAAATAGTTACATATTCTCTCATGTAGACAGAATGTAATAATTGTGCATTTATTTGAATGTTTAATAAGTGAAATAAATATGTGTGGATGTCTACATATATATGCATGCTTGACTCTGTGTTTCAGGATTGCTATATTTAATACTTTCCTAAGGCCCCAATGCAGGCAAATATTTATGCCCTCAGAATCTCATCAAAGTCAGTGGGTCTACCTGTGTGGTTCAGGTTGCCAGAATGAGGACTAAATTGATAAGAGGAAAGATATACTGTACATAAGCAGTATGCTAGTTTCTATTGATTGGAGGTTCTTTATTTCTAAAACAAATTTTATTCAGTCTTAACTATGTTTTCCTCTTTGAGGACTCTCTTTACTACGCACCTGGACTTTATTCATAGCTCTGCCATGGACATTCTATTTGGGTATGTCTACACTGCAGTTAAAAACCCATGGCTGGACTGTGCTGCAGGGCTGTTTCATTGCAGTGTAGACTTCCATGCTCGAACTGCTGCCCAGCTCTCAGACCCTCCCACCTTGCAGGGTCCTAGAGCACAGGCTCCAGCCTGAGCCTGGAAGTCAACACTGCAGTGAAACTGCCATGCAACCCAAGCCATGCAAGCCTGAGTCAGCTGGCATGGGCCAGCCGTGGGTGTCTAATTGCAGTGTAGATATACCCTATGTGACTTTGGACAAGTCACCTAAGCCTAACACAGGAAAGCACTTAAGAATGTTCTAACTTTAACTGTGTGAGTAGTCCCACTGATGTTGCTACTCACATTCTTAAAGTTAAGAAGGTGCATAAATGCTCTCATCTGGCCTTGTCTTCACTGGTAAAAACAAAAAGTTTTTAAATTCATGTTAAACTAACCCTTATTAAAATCCTAGTGAAGGCAAAGCAGATGTTGCTGCATCTCGATAGCAAAATATGCAGCACAGTTATAACTTTCCCAGAGAGTGAAGAAGCATATGAAAACAGGCTTAAAATAAAAGTGCTATAAAAAGGAAAAACTGCTATAATTTATGTAAATAATAATGTTGGGATCTATTGTGTGAATATCAGGGTATCCTCATAGTTGTTTCAGGCTTGGTGTGCTTTAAAGTCTTTTTAAAATAGTGTGGGTTTCAGTACAGTCTCTTTTACATTATCCTGAGTTTTATGGACACAAATAATTGTAGGTACAGTTGACATCATTTAGGCATCTGACTATCTGATTAGACAGCTCTCTGACTGACATCACATATATTGGGAAATAATTGTGCATTCAAAAAGAGTAGGTTAATATAAAAAAATCTATCCTTTATATTTTGAATCATTATACAGTCATTCAGATTCTGTAACATTGGAAAGGAAATGCTGTTTGGAACAGTGTGCCATGGTGTTGGATTTAATTGTATGGGATGTAATGTAGCAGGCAATGGGTTAATCCTCTAGTGCTTGGTGATGGATTTTTCCTGGCTTAATCTCATTGTGAGCAATGGATGCAGCAGAGCTGTCAGCACCAGAGAGTTAACTTAAAAAAAAAAAAAAAAAGGGGGGGTGGGGGATGGGCAACAGAAGTGTGTTAATAAATGCTACAGTATGGGCTCTTCATGAGTGTTTTTTCTAACAAAGTTGTTTCATGCTAGATAATAAACTGCAAATGTGAATGATAAATAATGTAGCCCATCTTGAAACGTTATTCTTTGTATAATTATATTGATTCACTGTTACAACAAAGCTTTAACAAATAAAATGCAGTTATTTATTATTTTGTATTCCAGTAGTGCCTGGAGGCCCCAATCAAGATTGGGACCCCATTGTGCTAGGCACTGTACAAACACAATAAAAGACAGTCCCTGCCCAAAAAAGTTAATACTAGTGGAATACAAAAAGAAAAAAACCCTAAATTTTTATTTAAAATCCATCCTCTCATGCTCCAAAGCTGTGGCGGGATTGTTTTTTTATATGAACATATGAAGTAACTTCTAGGAATTCTGTTTTGCAGCGGATAAATCCCTCTGCAGAAATGGTTATGATTGACAGGATGTTTAACCAGGAAGAAAGGGCGTCTCTGTCCCGGGATAAGCGCCTTGCACTAGTGGATCCTGGTAAGAAATGTTTAACTTCAGCACTGTGAAGTAGAAAACTATTTGCATAATCTTCTAGATGCTAAAAATATTAGAGCCAAACCAAGCTATTGATTTTAAGTGCAGTTCCTCTTTGAAACCATTGGTTTCTGCTTCAGAATTAATGGCTTATGGTGAAATCATACCTTCAGCTTCAAGAACCTAAGTTGACGTGCTTAACATCGAGAGACTTTGTAAAGTGAAAGTTGTTCTCAGGGAAAAAATAATGGCTGCACTGGTGGGAAACCATGCAAGAACCCTGTTAGCAACAATCATGTTGTTGCTTCTGTGGACAGAACCTTTGAGTCTACAGCCAGCTAGATACAATAATACTGAGAGAATGTCAATTCCCTCATTCACTTAATGAAGTGTTACTTTTGGAGCCCAGTGACCACTTACATTCCAGCATTGTTGACTGTTTCACTACTGACAGACCAAATCAGAAACATTCAACAAATGCACTTGTGTAGTATAGGTGTATGTTCCTGTTGCATCCTGATGCACTGTTCATCTTAAAGGACATTGAGAGAATGTAAAATACAAATATTAGGACAATCAAATATTCAATGAAATGGTATTCTTTTAGAGAGGTAGCCGTGTTACTCTGTATCAGCAAAAACAACAAGGAGTCCTTTTATCTCTAAGGTGCCACAAGGACTCCTCGTTGTTTTTGGTATTCTTTTAGATATCGTATTCAGATAGTTAGGATGCTTGCAAATGCTTTGGTGCCTTATTTTGAAAACCTTACTTAATGGAGTAGGAGGTGTAGGATATGGGTCCTTGTATTGCTATCAGGTAAAACGTTTATGATCCTGCCCGCACCTCAGCATGCAGCAATTTGTGGATTTATTATAAAGCTGGTCAAGCAGCAAAGACAATTGGGTTTGGATATTTTGTTAATAACTCTTCTAGCGTCTTACTCCGTTATGTAATATTAAATGTAAGAACAGGGAGGGAGAAAAAAACTAAAACTCCTTAGCAGAATTTGGGCAGATTTGGGAGGAAAATTCAGTTTTTTGCAAATATAGATGATCCCTTTCTGTTGTTTGGTCCCTTGACCTCCTTACACTGTAAACTTGTGAAGCAAGTGGCTATCAATTTAGCATTTAATGGAGACCTGCAAAGGAACAATAACAAAAATTGTTCTTTTTGCTTCTTTATTATCTATAAACAAGGGCTAAAAGGATTTTTTTAAAAGGCTTTGTTGCTTATTTTTATCTTAGAAATACAACTGCATCTTTTCTGTTTTTTGCCAGGGGATTAGTAGGAATAAATACCTGGAGTGGGAGCTGTTTTGCCCTTCAGTTGAAAGAGTGGTGGGCTTCTTTTACAAGGTTGAGTTAAAAGGTTTTCAGATAGAAACAAAGAGTTTTGAACAATGTGGCTAAAAATCCCTTCTCCAATTACTTGCCCAGTTTTCAGTCTCCTAGCTTTATTAATTCTACTTATTTCCCAACTGCTTAAAGTGTGCTAGGTGCCTCACAAAAGGAATAAGACTGGTTCCCACCTTAAAGAGTTTATAGCCTAAATAGGCAAAACATATGGAGGATAGGGGAAAGGGACATAACGTATAAGCAAATTGTTGTTCTAATGTGGCTAGTTCTCCAGTCTTCCAAGGAATCCTCCACCAGAAGTAGGGAAATCAGGAAATAATATTGTTAATATATAGCATAAAGTGGAAGGCAAAACAAAATCCCTCCCCACAAAACTGTTTTTCTTCCTTTGCAGTAAAAATGTATTTCTTATGCATGATGCTGTGAAATGTAACATTGGTTTAATAAGGAAACAAATGGTACAGAAATGGGTGTTCTTATATTTTTAATATTTTAGCACTAGATTTAGATGAGCAGCTCTTGCCTGGGTATAAGGGAGATTCACAAGAAGCTTCCCTCTCTCCTCCTTCCCAGAGTAGCTCGTGTAAGGCCCAATCACACTTGGGCCCCTGTGATCAGGAACTTCTAGTCTCTTCCTCCTCATGATAAACAAATTGCTCAAAAGGGGGCAGAGAAGAGGTGGGGCCATGGCCCCGACTCCCCTCTGCATTACCCCTTAGAGTGGAGTTGGTGAACTAGGTAAACAATATGCACCAACCATCACTGGGGGAGCAATCTGCATAATGGGAAAATCTGGCACAATCTCTCCGGGTATTCCCCCAGAGGCAGTGTAGCTCCACACCATTTCCTACTCAGGTCTGTGTGTAAAGCAGGCAGTCTTATCCCTAACTTACCTGTTAGCATACCTTTAGTAAGTGTAAGGTCTTCAAACAAGTTTATCTTCTAATTCATTGTTCATATGTTGGTTTAACTCTCTCCAGAAATGTAAGAAAATTTCACTTTTTAGTATCTTTTGTTCATATTAAACGTAGTTGGTTTTTATTCGAATGAAAAATGTTTTTTAGTATGCTTTATATCCTGATGCCATATACCCGAGCACCAAAATGTTGTTTATGTATTCATTATACAGAAAATGAGCTTGTACTCAAACTGCCTATTTTGAATATAATTCTCAGTAGCCTTTAGAAATGCTTGGAAAAATTTCAGTAAAATACTGTGTCAGAATTTTCCGATTTGTTGAAATAGAAATGTTCTGCTGTATTATGTAGATTTTTGAAAAAAATTCCACCAGAAACCAGACCTGAAAGCCCTGAGCCTGAGGGTCCCAGGTTCATGGCTCTTTGGCAGCTGGGATTTCCAGGATCCCTTGCTCCGGGGCATCCTGCCAGGGCTTCTAGTAGACCTGAGCAGAGAATGGTAATTCCATTTGGCAGACAATTTCAAAATTTTTGGTTTTCATTCTGAACTGGAGTGAAACCAAATTTCAAAATCTTGAAATCCTCCATGAAACAGAATTACTGGGTTTTCTGCCTAGCTCTATACAGTGCTTAGCAAATAAAAAGCAGAATCCATAGTCATAAGATGAGTGCACATTCCTTGTGTGTATTTCCATTACCCGAGAACACATATATCTCAATCCCTGCTGTATTCCCTGGAGTTCTGTTCTTATAACCATCTCTTTTTCATGTTTTACTTTCACTACAAATAAATAATATGTTCTTAAAAGAATAGTACAGTTACATCTTGGCTACACTGATTACCATTAAACCAGACATTTGTCATAGAAAACAGCACATCCCCCATTTACTCAGAAACTTTCAGTAGGGACAGAAGAGCTTCAGAATCCTGGAACAGCCAATACATATAAGGCTCAGAGCAACGATAGAAAGAGTCAAGGGGGAAGTCTGAGACTATTCCAGACACTCAAACTTCCCCTCAGACATAATTTGTCCAGCTTGTATCTGGCTTTATCTGGGAGTACAGTGAACTATACTTAATTTGCCCACTGGTTAATTACATCAAAATCTCAGGTATTAGGCCCTGATCCAGCAAAAATATTTAACCATGTGCTTATGATTCCATTAAAGTCATATTCTTATCGTCCAATAAATGGACAGTAAATACTAGAGGCGTTTTCAAACAAGAGAGGGCAATGTGAGCAAATAATGTCTGTTTGATCATGGGTTTTAATGCTCAGTCACATTCGAATGCTTGTTCTGTTTAGCACTTCTTTACATTTACTGTCTTTGACATTTATTAACTCCAAACTAATATGTTTGTTTTTAATTTTCAGATGGTTATCTGGCTGATTTTTGTTGTTCCTCTAAACGATTTGATGAAACTGTTGATGAAGCACAGTCCAGTGAAAGTGATCATCAGTGTAGTAAATCTTTGACTTCTCACAGTCAGCCTACCAAGATCCAAACCAGAGACCGATCAAAATCCAGCACAGCAGAGTCTACAAATCACAACAAACTTCATTTAGTGCCTAACAACATTGTGACACAACAAGAAGGAAAAATTTCTACTAAAAAAACGGAAAGCCTTACTAAAGCTTTAAAGTTTGAGAAGGCTAGCTGTTCTCCTGACAGTCAATACATGGCTGTCTCTGAAGAGAAATTGGCTGATAAAGATCTTGCCAAGACCAATGAAAATTCTTCAGATTCTGAAGACTTGTCAAAAACCTTGTCAAGAGCTAATCATGGTACACATAAAATGTCAAGGAATACAGTTGAATCTCACTCAGAGGTAATATGTAATAACTCCCTCCAAGACAAAACTCAGAGGAGCTTTCCAAAGAATGAGGTTTTACATCCTGACAACATGAAAGGCTCGGGTGAACCCCAACAGGATTTGCTCCTCAGTAAGAGTTTAGAAACTACATTCAAAAACATTTTGGAACTGAAAAAAACTGGGAGACCGCCACAAAGTGAGGCTACTGGCAGTGGCTCTGTAGAATTAGACTTTCCAAACTTTTCACCAATTGCTTCACAAGAAAACTGTCTGGAAAAATTTATTCCAGATCACAGTGAAGGTGTTGTAGAAACGGACTCTATTTTAGAAGCAGCTGTAAATAGTATCTTAGAGTGTTAATAGTTACAGTACCATGGACAAGTTATGTTTCTCTTAGTAGAAGCAAATGTGAATGACACCACAAGTACAGCCTGACATATGTCAAAGGTTAATCTTTCTAAACTAGATTCTGTTCTGTGTTTGAGAGCAATACTCATTGTGATTACAGTGAGATATCCAGTAAAGTTGATCCTTGTTAGAATGCAGTCTGTTGGGGCCTACACATTTCAAGTATTATAATGATAGTGCTTATGGTAATTGTTTAACACTGCAATTTAATGAGATTGCAGTTCACTGGGCCCTAGGTAATAAGGTAATATACTGACAATCACAGTCATATGAAAAGGCAGATTTATTCAAGAAAACGTTAAAAAGACAAATGGAAGCAACAATTTTCCCCCTTCCATAAATCACTAGATTTTATTTTATTTTTTTCCAGGAAAACCTCGTGGTTAAATACCCATTGTACCGCTATTCAGAAATGATTGTCTGTTTGATTTATTACTAAATCCATCTGCTCTAGGATTTTAAGTTGGAAGGATGTCATCGGTACGTTTATAGGGCTTCATATTTTAAGTGCTTTTCTGTTGTCACTGGGCAGAAAGTAGTACATGAGTGTATCTGTAGTGGGTGAATTTAGTCTGTGGAATGATACTGTATAATGTTAGTCACAACGGTATGATGTGAAATAATATATGCTAGACTAAGGAAAGAAGAACAGAAGCTAATAAGTGGCAAAGTGTACAGGAGGAGGTCATGATGGAGCCATGAATTTATATATATAAATACATATATATGTTAACTCTTGAGGAGAAGGTTTTGAATTTTATAATTGGATATAGTCAACCTAAGTCTTTCTGAAGTGGTATAAATGTTGTTGTTTTTTTTTTAAGACCAAGTGTCAAAAGCACTTTTATTTGAAAACTGTGTTATTAAATTAGTAGTTTATACTTTGAGGGGACATTAGCCTTAATCTGAGAAATTTAAAGGCCAGTGTTGTTGTTGCTTGTTTCTGCTTCTTGCTGTCAGAGAATATTAGTCATCCACAGCAGCAGTCATAACTACCAAAATATGTACAGACCAAAGTTAATCAACTATCCCATTGTTAAAACATATCCAAACTTGTATAATTATTAATTCACATTTTAGAGCCAAAGGAAACCCCTGCGTGGTTTGATTTGGCTGGTGTTCGTGTTGACAAGAATAGAAGCTTGTTATTTTATTTATTTATTTTTAATATGTGACTTTTCCCTTTTATGGTCCATGCTTCTTTTTTAATAGTTTACTTTGGTCATTAGTGCTGTTGTGCACATAAGTGTTCTGCCATTACCGAGATGAATCTAGCATGTATGTCTGCTCAGAAGGGTAGAGCTGTTGTGGTTTCTAAGGCATGCTGTCTATCTCTCTTTCCTTCTGTCTTCCTCCCTGTTGCTCACAAAAATAAACAACCATGTTTCAAAACTTGCTGATTGCCATTATCATAATCTAGAGATCCATTGTGACAAACTGTGGTTGTCAGTCAGATTGCCAGAACTGCCAGGAAAGAAAACAAAAGGCCAGGTTTTGCTATCATTTGCACCAGTGCAAAAGAGAGCAGAATTTGGCCCTTGGGCTTTTGACAGCACGAAATTATAATGCACCTCCATTTTGTTGAGCTGCAGTCCACTATGTGATAACATAAGAAAACCAAATCTAGTCAACCTGAGAAAGATAACAATATTTAACATATAATTAAGGTTCAGTTCCCGTTCAATGTGAATGGAAATATAAATATTTTGTACATTATTAATTGCCATTTCAAAACATTTGTGCCAATTTTAAATTTGTCAAAATCCAACATTCCCAAATGTCATGTAAAACATTTAAAATAATAACACGGTATTGCCAGTTTCAAATTTCTAACTGGGCATCATTACAGTAGACTCTTAGGCAATTAGCTATTTTCTAGTTAATGAGACTGACAGTATAGTCTTTGCCGATTGCCTTTGAAATTTCATAAAGATAATGATGGCTGTGTATCCTGTGGATTATGTATCTTATAATTCATTCAATTTCAGCCAATATGAGCAGTCTAGAAAGGAAGGCTGTAAGTTATATCAGCAATGTAAATTAGTTTAATTTTCATCCTATGAGAAAAAGGTGCACATTTATGGATCCTGTCGCTCTTGGTACCATCTCAAAAGGCGTATTAGCTTTCAAGCATCTGTACAGCAAATATATAACCTAAATAACAAAATGTTGTGTCCACTATGTAAATTTATTTTTCCTGGGCAGTGAATTATAGATAGTGACAAATAAAGATTAAGACATGTTTTTTAACATTGTTGATTAGGTCAGACAAAGGTTTGTCCAAACATCTTATGTCCGGAATCCATTGAGCAAAGGCCAGCAAACTTACTGTTGGATCATTAGTGTTCTGTTATTCATTCATTTGAATTCTACTTTAGGAATACTTATACTTGGTAATGCAGTAAACAGAATATTCTTATATATGAAATATTGTTTTAATAAAGTGTGAATTGGAATCTGATCCAGTGAAATACTTTAACACATGCCTGATTTTAAGCACATGCTAAAATGCTTTGCTGGATCAGCGTAATGATTTCCAATGTTCTTGAATACTGCCTAAGGTTAAAATAAATTTTAAACTGGCAATTACAAAAAAATATTTTAACTTTGAAGAGTTTAGCATAATTTATCTCTTAGACTAGGGAGGCCTTACAGACTGACTTCACTTAAAGAGGATGTGTCACTTATTGTCAATGTGGTATGGACTTTATTTGCTTAAATACCTTCATTTGTATAGTATGTCTCACTTGAAATTGCTTTGTATACATTTTGTAAAAATATTTATAAAATGTTTTGTAAAAAAAGTATAACAAATTGCAGTTTATTTTGTTATGTTGGATAAATACTGTTAAAAGACACAAGTCGGTAAATATATTGTTAATCCATGGATAGGAAATGTTTAGTTGGAGATTACAGATTGAAACAACCATTGCAATACAGCCAAAGATTTGGGAAAAAGTATATCTGTGATTGTCTTGATTTTAACCAAGATGAATAAGTACATTTCCAAAAGAAGGGTTGTTTTCAGCTTCAAGTAATATAGTTGCAGAACAGTCTGACTTACTGTACTTTTTATAATGCAACTGTATTATGAAATAATATATTTAATAGACATGCTGTGCATGTAATTTTTTGAAGATATGCTAATAAGCCACGGGTCATGTGGTAGCATAAAAACATCATTAGTTTTAATCTCTTCTCTCAAAGTGCTCAAGTTGGCTATGCCTTGTTACATTATCGCAGAAGTCCTGTCTTAAAGTGATGAGGTGGTTGAAAGAAGGAACAATATGGTATTAAGGACTAAATCGTCTCTCCCGTGCCTGGGTGTGGTATACAGGGGAAGGGGTACAGGTAGCCCTTTCTTCTCCTCCAGTGCATCTTCTCATGATGGAGGCATAAACTACCTCCTAAGACTAAGGAATGCAGGAGAGGGGAGTTGTCTGTATTAGTAGCCTTGGAGGGAGCATAGCTTGGTGTAGCATGAGTGATGCCATGTCACCTCACTCTGCCCCTGGATGACTCAACCCTTCCCTCACAGCATACAGAAAACATGGTTTTCAGTAACATAATACCTCTTTCCACCTGGGTGGTGTGCCTCCTTGCCACTGTGGTTGGGCCTGGCAGACGATATAATTGAATCCTAAGGCCCTGATCCAGCAAAACGCTTCGGCTTGGAGCCCAAATAAAGTAAACATTCATAGGAGGGCATTAAGACTAGGGCCTGGATTCAGGAAGGTAGTGAGTATTTTCAACTCACATGAAAAGAGTTGAAATCTATTCTAATTTGTGACAACAAGGCAAAGAATAAAGCCTAGTTACATGATGCTTTTCACCTGGATTCATCCTGTAACAAAATGAAGATGGCTTTATGACTTGCTTATATGTTGTTTGCATCCTTTTATAAAATAGTTTGGCTAAGCATTGTGTTCAGCGATAGAATCACCAAGAAAACTTCCCAGACATCCAACATCTGTGAGGTATAGGTTACTACACAGCTGTCTTCACTTTAAAATACCCTTTCACTGTGATCAGGATGGAATTGTGCTCTGGTTTTTCTGCAAGGATGAGAAAACTCTAGTAGACTTTTTTTTTAAAAAAATAGATACCTTAGCATTTTCGATCATGGTGTTTGGCATATAGATTCGAGCTTTGGTTTGGATGCAGAATTTCCAAAAACATTATCTTTTTGTATATGTATGAATAAGTTATTTAATTAAAGAAGACATAGGATCACAGCCATGTCTTAATTTCTAAAAAGAAAAGATTGCCAGAATAAACCTGTAGCACAGCAGGAGGTATGTAAGTGAACTTCAAATCCTTCTCTCAAAATCTGCCTTTCGTCTTCCAAAAATGTTTCCTCCTCTTTGTAAATTTTGGTGTTTTTCCTTTGGAATGGTTCTCAGTCTTCCTTGCAGTTCTCAAATCAGGCCCTTTGTTAGACAGGGACAGAAAACACAAGGAACAGTTTTACAAGAAGCCAGCAGCAAAACCATAGTAACAGGTTCTGTAGAAGATCCCAACTTCAACAACTACGAGCTATAATGTGCAAAAATCAACAGAATCCAGCCTCTAAATAATATCCTTATATTTTAATTTTCTTTATTATTCTCTGATTTGTGAATCCACTATCATTTTTGTGTCCTTTGGTCCCCAAATTCTTGTGCTAAAAACCATCTAGTCTTTATGCAACAAATCCATGCACTGGATTGAGACTAGAGGACTGAAATTGCAGCAACAATTGTGCTGGCTGATCGGTTTTAAGGATTGCTGCTGTGGAATGCAAACTACGATTTTCAGTTGGGTCAAAAAAAGGTCTTTTTTTGGCTGGAGAGAAAGTTTTCATATTAACCTGAGTGATCTGATAGTTTTTCTTTAATAAAAATTAAAAAAAACCCTATAGAATTTGAAGGACACACTCATTTTTTGGAGCTAGTTTTTTCACAATAAAACTGTACATCATATGTCAAGTCTTCTCATTTGTTAAGCATAGGTTAAATCTTTCCATTTGGAGAAGAAACCTGCTTATTAGGTTCATATGTGTTGTATAGGTTGATGTAACCCTTTTAGTTTTATCCTGACCCCTGTACCCTGACTGTAGTTTAGATCAATATCGTTACTCTTGCAGATTATTAGCCTGAATTGTGACATTCCTTTAGTGACATTCCACCATTCCTTTAGTAACTCAAATCTTTATGTGGCTAAACAAAGAGAGTGTACCATTTTTGGCAGATCCTTAGCTAGTGTAAATTTTCACATCGCCCATATAAATCCATGGAACTGACATTTTATACCAGATGAGGATCAGTTCCTTTAAATTAAGCAAAGTCTGTAATTTGCCATCAGTGAAATCACATGCATATCACAAATCTTTCTGCTTGTGGGGAATGTTGGTTAGTAGTCAAATCAGCATGCCTGTTTTTTATTTTAGGCTGGAATGCTGACACAATGTATGACCTTAGGCAAATTACCATAGCCAGATTTTTGAGAGCTCAGCACCAACCTTTTGAAAATCTATCTGTTTAGTGCCTAATTGGGAGTGGAACCCTTTTGAAAATCTGGCACTTAGGCCTTGAGCCAAACTCCTTGGAAATCAATGAAAAAATGTAAATAAAGAGGAGGACTCTGCTTCTTCAGAGGAATGTGTAAAGTCAAGTCATTAATATTTGCAAATGGCTTTGTCATCCTTGAGTGGAAAATGCTATGTGGAGATGCTGAGATATTACACTGATGAGCATCATGTAAGTACCTACACAGATAGGTGGTAGTATTATTAATTATATGATTTTATTAAAGTTATCGAGCAGTGGCAGAGAGTAAATAGAATGTCACTGATTGATATGTGCAAGTTATTGATTTTATATATATATAAGCCTTTCAAAATCAGGTAATTATTGAAAATTGTCTATATTGTCTATATATATATATATATAGTCTTCTTTAAACAGTGACAATTTTCAATAATTACCTGATTTTGAAAGCAAAGCTGAACTTCACCTCAAGTTTGAACTTTGGGCCAAATGATCATCTCAAGATGTAGCACCATATACAAATGGTCATAACTAGTGACTGTATATAATTAATTTTGGTTGGTAAATGGTACGGGGAGAAGAGATGCAGTCAGTTAATGCACTAGCCAGTCACCCTGGGCTGAAAGCCTGCATGGAACACAATTGAAACTGAGTGGCAACGTTACTGAATGAGAAGGCACAATGCTTGATATAAGTGCAAGACTGCAGTAGCAGTGTCTTGTAGCTCAGGAATGAAGTGCATTAGCTGAGCTGTCTCCACAATCTTGTGTCGCATCTTACATTGCCTGACTGCAGGCTCTGATGATTAGGCCCTCCTAAAAATCTCTATTATAACACCATTACACAAATTACAAGCCTTTTCAAATATAATTTCAAACAGCTCTCAAACTAGTCTCTAAAATTATACTGATAAGTTCGTTCATGCAACTATTTTTGTGAGCAAACACCTCATTGCTCACATGTATCAAACGGGTACTGAACTAAGCTGATTTGCATGTACAGATACCCGTTTTCACACACAAAAATTGCTAGCATTGAAGTCAGGTTTAGAAAATGTGGCTGAATATGTCATTTCTCTGACCTTTTTCATCATTGCAACTTGAGGCAGTATCTAAAACTACATCTGTAGCTAGGGCTTGTGAATAGTATTGCAACGTATTGCCCTGGGTCTGCATTAACAAAGTATTTATTAATGTCACAATTTTCTTCTTTAGATCTGGACCACTTTGCTAACAGTTGTACACAACTGGGTTACATCAGTACTAATTCTTGCAAGATACTGAATTTGGATAATTTAGTTTGGTTCTGCTGTGGTTGTTAATTTCAGTTGTTTTACAACTTGCTTAATGGGTGATGTGTTAAATTTCCAGGTAAGTTGAGATTTTATGTTACTATTTATTGTGCATGACTTATGAAATTTGTGTTTTAAATGGTTGCAACTAAACTGTCTAACTTGTTGCAGTGACAGGCAGAACAAACTAAGTTTGGCTGTAGTTCATTGCATGGTCTTAATACACTCATTATTCAGTGTTCCTGTAGCACCATCTGCTGGTAAATAGCAGACAAAATAAAAACATATGATTAATATCATCAAGAAGGAAAAAGAAAAGGAGTACTTGTGGCACCTTAGAGACTAACCAATTTATTTGAGCATAAGCTTTCGTGAGCTACAGCTACACAGACATGAAGGTCGCTATCTTAAAACAAAAACTTCAAATCCAGACTCCAGCGAGAAACTGCTGAATTGGAATTCATTTGCAAATTGGATACTATTAATTTAGGCTTAAATAGAGACTGGGAGTGGCTAAGTCATTATGCAAGGTAGCCTGTTTCCTCTTGTTTTTTCCTACCCCCCCCCCCCCAGATGTTCTGGTTTAACTTGGATTTAAACTTGGAGAGTGGTCAGTTTGGATGAGCTATTACCAGCAGGAGAGTGAGTTTGTGTGTGTATGGGGGTAGGGGGGATGTGAGAAAACCTGGATCTATGCAGGAAATAGCCCGACTTGACTATGTAAAGAGTTGTCACTTTGGATGGGCTAGCACCAGCAGGAGAGTGAATTTGTGTGGGGGGGTGGAGGGTGAGAAAACCTGGGTTTGTGCTGGAAATGGCCCAACTTGATGATCACTTTAGATAAGCTATTACCAGCAGGACAGTGGGGTGGGAGGAGGTATTGTTTCATATTCTCTGTGTGTATATAAAGTCTGCTGCAGTTTCCACGGTAAACATCTGATGAAGTGAGCTGTAGCTCACGAAAGCTCATGCTCAAATAAATTGGTTAGTCTCTAAGGTGCCACAAGTACTCCTTTTCTTTTTGCGAATACAGACTAACAGGGCTGTTCCTCTGAAACCTGTCATCAAGAAGGAAACTTACTTTCAGAGTGAAATTCACCAGAGGAGATGGGTTTGGAAAGCCCCTAGAGCAGTGCAATGGACATGGCTTGTCCCTGGGTGGGATGGGAAGGGTGGTTGTCAAGTGGGCACTTAAATGGACTCTGAAACTCCTGTGTACAGGTTAGCTGGGTTTTGTGTTATCCCTACTTGGACAGGTGCTAAGAGGGTCTTTGGGGTGAACTGAAAGGGTCAGG